CTTAATTAAGGGCTGTTCCTGGATTCAAGGGCTTTTGGAATCTCTGGGTGGATACCTCCCATCCACCTTTTGCTCGCCCCTGTCGCAGGACTCTCCCAGATTCGGAGGCTCTGGGCTCGCTGCATGCAAAATCCTCCCAGACTGAGACCGTTGAATGCGACCAACAGGGGCAACTTTCGGGTCTTGGTCCTGCTCATCGGTCTTTTGCTCCATGGCCGCAGCACCGCTACCCAAAGCTTGAGACCTGGAGACCTGCGACTCCACGATTGGAATTTAGTGCCTGCCGTGGCTGAAGATGACTTGAGACCGAGTAGCACGCTTGCAGTTGAGACCGAGCGCCCTACCATAAATCTTTCGGCACGCCAGCTCGTGCGCCGCCTGAGCAACTCAGTGACAGACAAGCAGCGATAGACCAAAGAGCTTTGCATGCAATACAGCTCTCCTAAAGCACTGCTTACGATTCTACCCTCAAAGTTTAAAGCCCCATGTCAGCTCTCCTGGGCACCGTGCTGAAGGGCCGCAGCTTCTCACATCGCCTGGCCAGATCAAAAGCTTCACACTTAACAACATGCAAGTGGCATGCACCTCTTTCAACAGGGCAGGGCATGGCAGCTGCGCATTTTGCAATGAGTTTGCTACCGCTGCAGGCCTATTGACTGGCGCGGGGGAGCCACCATTCATCTGCAAAACAGCTCCGAGCATAGGTGAAGGACAGATTAAATTCTAATGATATGATAAATTCGTAGATTAGAATAGACTGAAACCTGATTGGGGCTAGGCTGGAACTCTGTGTGGCAGACTGAAAATGGAGACCCAGCGGGCTTTGCTGATTATTGTGTCCGCCTTGCACCTGTGTGGCAAGCAGAAAGACTCGGCCGGAGCAAAAAGCCTGATACTTGCTCTGCATCTTTGTGGCCCTGCATGAAATCAATACTGAACTGCCTGGCCAAACACCAGATGATATTTTTATAGGGATCGTTGCAGAGCAGTAAGGCATGCTCCAACAATTTCAAAGACCCTGGAGGCCAAAGCAGCCACTCAGAGAGGGCGTCACGCGGAGATCCCGTGAGTGGACTGGAGGCCAGGCTTTCCTGCGTGCAACAATTAATCAGCATCATGGAGTGGATGAGGCTGGAAAGCAAATACAATGTCACAGCCACTAAGCAGGCGTCCTCCTACTGAGTTTGGCGTAGCGTTCTGTTCTGCTGCGGTTTCTGCACATCCTGCAAGCCACATGATTAAACATTTGCCTATTTCTGCACATCCTGCCAAGTTTGCCTACGTTCAAGTCCTGGCCCCCACTGCGAGACCGTTTCCACTGGCCATCATCATGGCTTGAGCCCCAGTCCTGGCTGCCCCAGCCCTGGTCGTGGTAGCCCTGGCTGTCCCAGCCCTGGCCGTCCCAGCCCTGGCCGTCGTAGTAGCAGCAGCCATTGTTACCATATCCAGGCCCAGGTGTCTGAGACCAATCAGTGCTCTCGTCCTCTGAATCGCTTTCCTTGAACCTCAAGACCGGCTCCCTCGTGTCTCCGTAGCATCCAGGGTCTCCACGGGACGATTCTTAGCTTCTGAGACTGGGCATGATTGATTTGTACATCTCATACCACTTTTTGCCCTGCATTGCTGCAGCCAAGAAACGCAGAAAGATCCAGCAAGAATGGATGTACTGCGTCAAAATCTTGCTGACATCCCGAACCTTCCAGAAGTGCGATGTATCGTATCTGAGACACTGACCTGATCATTCAGCCAGAAATTAACTTTACAGAGCTCTTGCACCACCACACTGCAATTATGCCTGCGTCAGGCAGGAACCACTATTGAGCCGAGCTACGCTGCAGCTTTGGCACAATCTCCAAAACCTTGCGCCTGAGACCGGAGTGTTCGTCCAGCAGGTTGAGGAGACCCTGGCAGCGCAGCAGAACTTGGGTTTAGAAATTTAGGGCACCAATCAACATTCAGTAGTCTTAGAAGAGACTGATTGCATGAAAGCTGCTGTCCAGACAAATCCATCAACCTTCAGCTTGGTCAGGAAAACGTGAAGCTGGGGGGAATCTTGCAGAAGCTTGCGCTTCGTTTCCGCGAGACCCAACTTGACCTGCTTCTCGATTTCCTGCTCGTCGTCCTCAGGATCTGCTGGAGACCTTTGCTCGTTGTTGTCCTCGTCGTTGTTGTCCTTGTCGTTGTTGTGCTGGTCGTTGTTGTCCTTGTCGTTGTTGCGCTGGTCGTTGTTGTCCTTGTGGTCGTTGTTGTCCTCATCTGGATCAATCTGAGACCCTGAACCAGGTTGTGCAGTAGTGCTGCGCTCATCACGAAGATATTCCTCACAAACCTGAGCAGCGCCTAGCTCAGCGGCTAGCTGAGCGGCTTTCTTAGCGGCTCGCCTAGCGGCTCGCTCGCAAGCTGGGTCAGCTGGCGGCTCTTCTTGGTCTTCTTCCTCTCCTTGACCAGGTGGATCTGGACCAGCTACGTCTTCTTCTCCTTGGCCAGGGAGACCGGCTTCGTCTTCTTCAGGGCAATCTCCAGCATCTTCACCTGATGTCATGTCGGAGACCGTAACCTCCTTCCACACAGACGGGTCGGGGCCCACGAGGAGGATGCGGTCCAGGACGAGCAGAAAGGCCTTCTCCGGCATTTTCCAGCTTAAGTTATCCCACAGCAACTTGCTGATGTTGCCTCCTGTCAAGACCTTGAGAACTTCCACAAGCTGAGACCACAAGCAGACCACTTCTGAGGCCCACTCGCTGGCAGCAGACCCTTCGCCTGCCTCTTTCCCATTGACATGGATCGCAGAGATTGCCCCCCCCAAATTTCCCGCAGGCGGTCCGGTCGTTGTAAGTGGAGCCCAGAGAAGGAGCCAGCAAACAGCATGCCATAGAGACCGCGAAATTGCCAGCACCGCCAGGCGAGACCTCAGCTTCAGTCTTCTCGTGGTACATGTCGTGGTTCTCCGAGAAGAAGCCCTGCTCTTGCAAGTTAACCAGGAACTCATCCAGCTGCAGAGACCGGAGCCTTTCCAGGAGCGGCGGGACATCGTCCCTAGCTCTGGTGACCTTGTTCATGATGCTTGCCCACAAGGCCTTGTCCGAAAGCGTCTCTGGCAGCAACGGTGTGAGACCCCATGACGGGAGACCACTCAAGCTCACCCACTGCGTCTGCTCCTGAGGTTCTTGAGCAGACTCGGACTGAGACCCAGCATGCACATCTGGCGGCGGCGTTTCGGGCCACGCTTTCTCCATCGCCTTCTTCAGGATCTCCTCCGGGCCTCCATGGCAGTCTTCGCCATAGACCTCAGCTCCTCCACACGCTCGCTCATGGCTCTGCCTCTTGAGGCCCATTGAGACCACTCCCTGCTGCTCCTTGATTTCCTTCAGATTCCGGAGAAGGTGGGTTCATGAGACAGGCTGGAGGGGCCTTGGGTTTGAGCTTTGTTGGAGAGACCTCCTCACCAGCCTGTGCTGTTCCTTCATTTTCTTGAGATTCCGGAGAAGGCGGGTTCA